AAGAAGAAAAGAAAAGAAAAAGCACTCAATAAAACAATAGTGTTCATGTCAAGCTTGTATATACCTCGTAACAGCCTCTGAGATTCAGCACGAAGTAAAGTAAGATGTTTTCTTCTTTCCTGTTGAAAAGTTATTGTGTCTCCAAAAATTAGCAACCAAACAGACCAAAAAAAAAAACTCTATCTGTAAACTAACAAAGATATCCAGAATGAACCTTTTGTGTTAATTTTTTTGTGGTGGCCGCCGTTTCCAGCATCTCATCGGTATCCTTGATTCTCTTCTTCCTTTTCTTATTTTTCTCCTCCTTAGATTCATCGGCATCAACCTGCTTGTTTTCCGATTCCTCCTCTTTCGAATCCCCAATTTCCATCTCTTGACCCTGATCCCCACTATTTCGATCATCTTCCACCGGAAAAGACTCAAAATCCAACGCTTTCTTTACACCCGAAGGTTCTGAACCCAATTCGATTTCCTCCATACCTAACCCATCAGAGCTGGAGCCCGACTCGTCTTCATCATCAAAGCTCTCAATCGCCGACCTAGATCCCGATCTTGGATCCTGAAAACCTTGGCCCTCTGATTTCTCGAAATCTATAGCTTCGGGTGTCAATGGATTCCCCTTAACCATCCTGCCTTTCTTCAGTCGTTTTAGCTTCCTATCAGGGACCGGAGAAGAAGGCTCGTCTTCAGGTGGCGAAAATAGTTCAAAATCCTCTTCGGTATCCATCTTCGTCGTGAAATTTACAGTGAAAGAAGTGGGAAGGAGCTAGGGTTGGGAATAATTGACATAAAAAATCCTGAGAGTTTGAGGGGAAAATCTGGACTGGTTTGCAAAAATGAAAAATAAGGAAAAAAAAAATGGCGGTCGTTTGTAAGTAATGTAATTTAGGCGGCAAACGTTTTAAAATCTTTTGGGAGGTAAAGGCGCGTGTTTTGTTTTGTATGATATGGCCAAAGCTACGGTTATATTATGGGTTGGGGCCGTGGGGGTTCAGGAAACTGGGCCGGATTTTGGCACTGCTCTCTAGGGGGAATGCAATAATGCGTCATGTCATGTTACCGCACACGTATACCACCAATTTCGGACCTATGGTAATAAGATCATTGTCTTGATGTTGGAATAAATTATTGATGGCCCATTTTTGGGTTCGAAAATTGGATTTTCTCTTTGATGAATAAATAAATTTGATACCATTTGGAAACACAAAATTATTGGGTAAAGGAAAAAAATCAAACTCAATATTATAAGACAAAAATATGATTTGAAAAAATATTTTTTTTTATAAAATTAACAAAAAAATCATTTTTACAGTTTAATACAATTCAAACAGTAAAATAACATATCCTAAAATCAATATACCATCATTCCTATCTTACCAAGAAGAAGAAGACTTCTTCTCACGAGTCAAAATGGCAATCCAAGTTCAGGAGAAACAACCAGAGATATGATCCACCAAGATTATCTGATTTATTGACCCATTAAAGAAAATGAGGCAAAAAGCATAACAAAATGTTATTAACAAGTATGTACAATGAAAGAACAGACACACACCCAATAATTCATAAATGAAAAGCACTATTATAATTTTATAACTGAATGCCAATAAGCTGTCATTGGCCTGGAAATCAGCTCATTATATGACCCTAGTCAAGGGCACAACAATATTTTGATGAATAATGCAGTTAATAACGGTAAATAATAATAAGCTGTCTACCCAAAGTAGTGCTAAAAAATAGTCAAACGGATTGTGGACACGACAGGAAACTAAATAATACTTAAATCACATCTCCAAGTTCCAAGTAGTTTCAGCGCTTAATTTTGGAACTATTGATTCTTCAGACAGGTTGAAAGATGCTGAGATCTGGAAGACAAAAAAGCCAAAAAAAAAAAAAAGAAGTTAGTCATCACCTCTAAGGAGGAGACCATACAACAATGACTGAAAATGTGGAATAGAAGTTAATGGAATCTTACAAAACAAACTATAAGCCAAACTGTTGAGAGTGAAAAACAAATACTTGTCAGTTCTGTTGATCACCAACTAATCTTCTTTTAACATTGACAAAATGTACATAACTAACAGTATTTCAAGCATCTAACTATTCCATATCCAACTGCCCTAGCTCTACCGAGAGGGTGAAAATTTTTCACAAACCAATATTTCAGTGGTTGAAATACCATGAATCTTTAAAAACCTCCCTACCAGTTGTAACTGCCACTAAACTCATGCAACCAAAACTTGATCATTGACACCACATCAGTCTAATTAAAACACAAACCCACCAGTATCAGAATACATCAAAATGTCATCTTCCAAACATTACCACCTAATACATCCCATCTGACCAACTCAATCATATTGTATAAGGCAAGTTGCATACACCAATAAGTGAGGCAATTTGCAAGTTCTGATAAAGAATGAAAAAATTCAGATGGAATTTCAAGGAATTACCCACTTCCTCTCATCAACATTTATTGGATTAGCTAAAAGGAGGAAACAAATGTGTTTAGTGTTGTATATTTCTTCTGTCCTTAATCAAAAGCATAAACGTGCTTGGGCCATCAAAAGTAGAAGTTTCACTTGAGTTTATAGGACCAAGATTCAATCAAATCAACTCGTTCTCTCTTTTGCTTACTCTGATCCTATTTGCTTATTTAGTTTTCCAAACAAGAACAACCTAGAAATTTCAAAATGGCTCGATCTAAGCTAAGTAGTTGACTAATCAAACTCAAACCTCAAGGATAACACACATTTTCCAATTGAAAAAAGAATTTGAGGTTCCAACACATTATAAAAGTTTTTGATGGAAGCAACTAGATACCATCAATTCAAGCATAAAAGTAAATATGCATTAGTATAGGTATCATCATATTCACCAAGCTTTCAGTTAAAAGAGATGGAATACATTAAAATGATATTGCGAACAGTAGAAAAGGGATAAGAAAGGTTGCAAAGCTCAACTTTAATCCATTTCCACAAGGAACCTCAATTATTCATGCCTTAGGTGAAGCCATGATACAAGCATAACACAGCATTCAATCCACATATCAAAGTTCCAAACTTTAGCGGTTAATTCAGTTAAATTAGCAACTCAATCCTAAATGTGAATTGCAGATTGCCAACCCTCTCCTTAAACACAATATGATAAGATTAATCACCAAGGAGAAAACTGCATCAAAAACTCAATTTTCTATGAACACTGAGAATAAAATCATGAGAAGAGAACACAAAGAAACAATTATCTATTTGGCATTTACCTTAAAACCATTCAACATAGAATTTCTCGACCACTCCAGACCTAAGTGCTGGTTTGATGTCTGATAAATAGCCTTAAACACATCATCACCATAAACCTTCCTCGCAATCGAAAAATCCCATGAATTCTTCCCAAAATCGTAGCAAGGCTCAAACGTAGTAACCCCTCCATGAGTATAGGTGTACTTCACCTTGCAATTCCCCGTACCAACCATGTAATTAGCCGATACCTTATTAGCAGAATCGAACACGAGTGCGCCGTCCAGTATCGTCCGGTTATCCCCTCTGCTATGAATATACGTCAAATTCAACGGCTTCTCCGCAACCCTAATCGTGTTCATAAACTGAAATCGAACATCCTGCACCAAAACAGCGATACGTTAATGGTGAACAATGAATACTCAACAACCAAGCCAGGAAGATACACAAAGTCCAATTCACACACACAGTTAGCAGTACCTTTTTGGGGACGTCGTAATCGATGATGAAGAAACCAGGCTTTTCTAGAGCTAGAGTGAGGCCGTTTAGGCTGGGACCCTTGACGACGGTGGCGTCAGTCACGGTGGCGCGTAGCTTTACATCGCCGATGCCGGCCGCTAGAGAAGCGACGGAGCTGCTTTTGTCGGGGTCGTACCTGCCTTTCAGAGTCGCCTTCATGTCTGCGGGAAAACCGAAAGAAGGACAACAGGAACGAGAGACCGGTGGAAATGATTTTGTAGTATTTTGGCGCACCGATGTGCTCGAGTCCTCTTATTTGACCAGTACCTGAGTGGGCTTGGGCCTGCCATGCTTTAGGCCAGAGCCCATAAGGCATAATTGCCCAGCCTATAAGCCCATAAAGTGTAAGACCAAACTCGACGTGGGCCCGTAAGACACTGCACGCGCACGGATCTCGAGGTCCAGGTGATCTGATCCAGCTCATCACATTAATCAAAATTTTCCAAAAGGAAAAAAAAAAAAAAGGAGAAGAGAAGAAAAAATAGAAATAAAAGCGCCAATTCCAAAATTGGCGCCACATTCAGAGAGTCAGATCTCAAAATTTGTTTCCATTCCATTACCCACTGAAACTAACCCTAGCTCAGGCTCCCGCCACCCGTCGCCAAACTCCAACTTCATCGGCCACCTCTGATTGTCGCCGTCTTTCTGTCTCTCCTCGACAGAACATTGCCGGCAATCTCTAAGGTGCGATTTGTACTTGTTCTGCAACCAAGCAGTAATTAATTTTTATTTTTTGATCTATTTTCATGTTTATTTGATTTGATGATGATTCAGGTACTAAAAGAATTTTTGGTGAGCTTGAGGACGATATTTTTGCTCCAATAAGGTATTTCTACTTCATCTTGTTAATTACTAGTCTACTTGCAATTTTACGATTTACATCGCAATTTCAGTAGTTCCAGATGGACACAATCAATAAATGCTAGCCCTACTCCGTTGAATCTTTTCTTATTTGCTTGAATTTGGTATTTCAAGGTTTTCGTTGCTCAGATCTAGAAAATGGTGAGGATATTGCTATTTTTTGGTTCTGTTTGGGACAAAATAGGAGGCTCTTCATGTGCAATTCAATGTCTATTAGTTTCTAGTTGAATGTGGAAAAGCTTGAATCCATGGCTGTTCTGATCTTTTTAAATGAATGTTTGACGTGGTTATAATTATTATTTCTTTGGAACTAACATTTCTCCTTGTTGCAGACAGGCCATTAGGTACTGTTTTTAACCTACATTCAGATTGTATAATCTGATGGAGTTAAGGAGCGGCCGCCATTTGCACTTTATCCTGGCCATTAAAGGTGGGTTGGTGAATAAAGTCCTGAATGTGAACTTTCGTGGAAAGCCAGCACTGAAATTTAAGCTGATCGAGGACATTTATGATGCTGAAGATGCCAAAAATCATAACAAAGTTCCAATAATCCATCTAAGGGATGATATTGAAAGCACACCATCCAAACTCAAAG